CATCCACTATTCCGCACAAAAGAAGCTTAAAAGAAAAGGAGACGTAACTAGTCATGTTAAGTCAGGTAAAAAATATGGGACCCACTAATCATCTATCCTACATCTAACTCAAATGCTTTCAAAGCATTTTTAACCTTGGGACACTGACAAATAAATTCGTGTAACATATTATCAGTTTTGTACTGACCATCACTAAGGTTTATAGAATTCAATTCTCTAATCAAACTTGCTTCAACCAGAAGTTTTTCTGTGACACATGATGATTTAAATACTTCTAAGCTGTTCTCCCAATCAATGGGATGATTATTGTTCCTAACATGAACGAACAGTGCACTGCTTTCAGATGCTGTTCTGATATTGTACTTGTGCTGTTTAATTCTGAGTTGTAATGCTTTCCCAGCAAATATTTGACATGAGCATGGTTACCTGTCTTTCTGCTCCTTTAGCCTGTACAAGTGATCGCGGGCACCTTCATGCTCAGTGAAAGCTGAACTCTCGCGCCAGCTAGCGAAGGGCCAAATAGTGGGTGCTCAAGTCTTGTAGGACTTTGCATGGTTAATGGTGCGCCAAGTCCGTAGACTTGCATCGTTTTCCCATCGTAAATAAAATTGTTAATTAATGCCTTCCTAAAGAAACCATCGACATGGACCAGGTTTGTTCCACTCTACGTTTTTTTTTTGCTGCCATGATTTTTCCACCAAGTTTGATGAAAAACGATTGTGCCATTTTGGCTGTCCAGAACAGACAGACACACGTCTAGTCCTATAGCATATTAGATTTATATGGAGTTTTTTGAGGCTAGATTACTACCCAATATAGGGGTCATTATATTTCTTCTTTTGTCGTAAATTAAGTGATTTTAGATGTATACAACTAGACCCCGACTTACGACGGGGTTAGGGACCCAAATCCAGGTCGTAAGTCCGACATAGACAAAAAAAGAAATTTTTTTTAAATAAAAAATCTACAATGAAATACAGTACAGTGAAAGTAATAAATAATGAGGAATGGTTACAGTGTGACTGAGCACTTACCTTTAATGTAGTCAGCTGAATGCACATGGGGCCCCCATAATTTTCTAATTATACATTGAGACTACATTAACTGGAAACGTTTCGGTATAGAAAATGCGTGTCATTTGAAAAAAAAATGGTCAAAACTGCGGCGGTCGTAAGTCCCGATGGTCGTAAGTCGAAGCAGTCGTAAGTCTGGGTCTAGCTGTATAAGGACTTAGGGTATGATAAAGTGGGACACACAAACACACACATACATACATACTTACATATACCGTACTTGCACTTCAATGTTTAAAATCCCACTTTATCATACTCTAAGTCCTTATATACATCTAAAATCACTTAATTTACGACAAAAGAAGAAATATAATGACCTGTGTGTGTGTGTGTTTTCACTCGGGGAAAAGGGAAACAACGGAGCACCTTAGCTTTCGTCTTTATTCAAGACATCTTCAGAGGCAACTGGTGCTCCGTTGTTTCCCTTTTCCTGTGTGATTTTATCAAGATTTATCTTATCCACGTTTTCATTGTGGATCTACATGAACTTTAATTTCTCACTTGACTTGGGGTTTATTAATTATTATTAGATGACAATTGCAGTGGAAGCGCCCTTTTGAGAGAAATCCCGAACCAGCACAAGAACATTTAAATTTACTAAACAAAATGAATTGTCCGTGACCCGTGGAAGGATAGCGTCTGTGACTGGGATGAATGAGACACACTGTAAAATTTAGACACTTCTATTCCCTCCAACACTACTGACAATCAATAATGGTACACCAATATGCGCACCTCTTAACCTGAACTTAAAACACTACTCTGGGGAATATAAGTTATACATGATACTGAAATTATTAGAAACCCAGACAATGCCTCATTAGGCAACAATAAATTTAAAGTAGTAAGAAATGTTGCTTGCACACATGAAACAGGCCTTAAGGGCTTTCAACAAAATGATATCAACCACTGAGAAAATGGTATTAAAAAATAAGAAATTAATAACTCTACAATGAATAGGCCTTAAGGGCACTCAACAAAATTATATCCAGCACTGAGAAAATGGTATAACAAAATAAGAACTTATTAACTCCACCCTGAATAGGCCCTCAGGGCACTCAACAAAATTATATTACCCCAACTGGTGCACACTTCCTAACCTAACTTAAACACTACTCTGGGGAACAAAGCTTATACCTGAGATCGGAATTATAAAGAAAAATTAAATGCATTAAAGGAACTAAATCACACTATCACTGGTTTCAATTAGTGACGCAAACATTAAAAAACAATACTATCAAAATTATTTAAGAAATATTAAACTACACACGTCAAGATAATATCAGTAACTCAAAAAATGGTATTAACTACACACAAAAATATTATCACTATTATTGAGATGTTACTGGGTCCACCAATACCTGTGAACCATGCTTCACCCAACTCAACATACACCTGTAATAAGGGAGATAAAATGTTTCTCTAGGTATCCTCCGAGACTCCTGGTCTCAGTGTGACCATTAATTTACTCAGATAGCCTCTGCGTCCATGGGCGGGAAGAGAGAACGCCAGCAGGTGACCCCTAGCCAGTAGGTAATACTTCTAGCTGACCGAAAACACGTGGTGCTGTGCACCCACGTGGGAAGAACTGATCACCCAATGCTGATACTGGTACCGTGTCGTTTTAGGTGTCGGGAGCACTTGTTCACTCAAGAGATCCCTTGATATCCCCGCTGACCAGTGACAAGCCTGCACTGATCGTTCCAACGGCGACAATCGCCAATCATCAACGGCAGTCTCAAACGGCAGCCAGTCTCTCGCAGTCAATCTCTAGCAGTCAAGTGGATTCTGACGGAAACCTTGAAATGGACTCACTGTTAGCTCTTGTTAATTTTATCACTGCCCTATCTAACCCCTGTCTGAGATCGAATGAGACTTACTTGTTATACTGCAATAGCGCAACACAGGTGACTAGACCACGTGACCGTTTTGTCCTCTCTGACGCACAGTCTGCCCTTCTCTGTTCCACCGCTGTCGTCTGACTGAGAGCCACCCAGCCTCGTGTCTACCCAAGGTGGTAGCCTAGGCCCACGTGACATTTTTCGCCTACTAATAACTTTCTTGGGACACCCGTAACATTATTCAGACTGATAAACGATCTATAATAATTTCAAATTCAATAATAGTCCCTTAACTTCATGAATCGCATCATTATTCATTCGGCAAACTACATTCAATATCGTATACAGTCAACCCTCGCTTTACGCGGTCCCACTTAATGCGTTTCCACGTTTTCGCGGTACCCTGCCGAACACGAAATGCTCACTTTCCGCGGTGTGTGTACCCTTTTACGCGGAGAGCGGTGCGAGCAGTGTGCGCACAAAGTCGCCCAGTCATCAAAACATTACCGAGTTCTTCACCCGCCACCCACCACAGCCGGCCTGAGTCAGTGATAATGATAATGATAGTGAGGATATGGACTTAGAGGGGTTTGACAAAGAGGCCCTGCAAGCCTCTGTGGTGGATAGTGATACAAGTGATACAGGTGAGGGCCAATAATCTGCCCTCTGCCTCGGAACCAACTCCCCATCCCCGTGTGCCCAGCCATCTTTTTTACTAATGTGTTAAAACCTATTATTATTCTCTTATTATGTGTATACCATCATAAATTAATTATTTTTATGGGTATTGTGTCTCGAAGTGGAGTTTGGGGTGGCGGTCTCATTTCATTAATATATTTATGTTGTTCTTTTCTGGCGTTTCTCACTTTTCGGACGCGTGGGTTCAATTGACGCGTAAAGTGAGGGTTCACTGTATATATATATATATATATACACGTATATGGGATTAATGAAATAGAGACTGGGCGACATCTCAGACTACCCTCCGTTACAATAACACGTTAATGCATCTTAATTTAAACTAACACCTATAAAGCTGGTCGCTTTAATTATCCCTTCAAATCGTGTGGACTCAACTCCTGCACCCTCTACCCTGGATGGCTCCCTCCTACCTTCCCGAGAAATGTTTGGGGAAAAGGACTAGGCTTACAGGTTTAATAATAAATAATACTTCAGGCTAAAGTTAGGAGAATATAATTTACATTGCTGGAATCCTTGCAAGACAGCGAATAATTTGAATATAAAAATCATATAATTTGCACAAAAGATAAAATTTTTGCTGTCTCTAATAAAATTCTTAAATTAGATGTAAAATTTGTATGTCTAATGCAAATTTTAGCTTGTTCATATTCAAATTAATCACTGTCTTATAAGAATTCCAGCAATGTAAATTATATTCCCGCGTAAATGATGGAAAATACTGCGTAAATAAACATTGTCGGTCTTGAAGATCTGGATAGGGAAGATCCAGACATAAAATTTGGGGGTTGTGGGCTAGGAAGCTTCCTAGAAGTTTCCCTAAGAAGCCGTTAATTTAACGCCGTCAATGGATGGCAGCAATTTTTTTTTTATGCTGACGTCATCACATTGACGGCAGCAATTTTTTTTTATGCTGACGCCGTCAATTCTTTGGGCAGGTGACGCAATCAACTTTTCACCCGAGCAGAAAGTTGAGCGTCAATTTGTTTGGGAAGAATTTTACCCCGCCCGAGCACCTGCGCAGCTTTCTACAGATTTGAATTTTCAAGTCAGGAAAAAGGCCACCAACCAGCTGTCCAGGTTGGTGGAGAAGTCCGTGCACGAGGCTGAGAGCAGCAGCAGCAGCGGTGAGGGAGACGACAAAGACCATGACGTGGAGGACAATTTGTTCCAGGCCCTGTACAAGACCCCCCCGCAGGAATGAAAAAAAAACAGCAACCTTTTCAATCGTTTCCTGGGGGAGAAACCCTTGGAAAAAAAACTTTCGACAAGGGCACCTTCCCCAACAAGGCCATGAGGGAGTTATTCATCAAATACAGCACCCCATCCCTTCTAGTGCTGCCGTGGAGTGTATGTTCCCCATGTGAAAGGACGTCTTGAGGCCCAAGCGCAGCAGAATGAGTGACAAGCATTTTGAGATGCTAGTATTCTTGTGGGGAAACAAATGAATAATTAAAATGATACAATATAAATAATAATAAATGATTAAAAATGAATGAATATTTTTTATTTTGCATATGTTATTCCCACACACAGGAGAATACGCGTTTCGGGGCTGCATTTGTACATCACTGAAAACTCGCTTACGCTAACGGCGTCAATTTATGAAATCGTTTACGTCAAAGCTGACGGCATCAAATTTCTCGGCCGTTTACGCTGACGCTGGCGGCGCCACTTTTTTCCGTTGTATTTTTGTTGTTTCTTATATCATTTATTATTTGCCTGAAAATTCAGACATTTGGCTTTTCCAGACAGGTGATCCCCCCTTTTAGTCCGGATCTTTGAGGGTTCACTGTAGTGTATTTCTGTGCTAATTACTCGCCAACTATGGCTTTCCGAGGTGCGATTTGGGTGTTTTTTATTATTTTTTTATTTTTTTTTTCAATCTTTTACTATCTAATTCCTAGAGAAAAGTATATTTCTGTTGAAAAATTACTGAGGCTATAATACTTTGGCAGTTTCGGTCAAAAATTAGATTTTGTTGAAAATCTCAATACAGGTATAGGTATTCCTGATCACGCTGATTCCGAATCTATGGTCCATGATTCAATTACAGGTCATTCTGACACTTGGTAGATTTTAATTACATTATTTCAATGCTAATTGAACTTGGTCTGTAAACTCACATATGAGGAACTATCATGGGCATTAGGCATGATTGTAACACATTAATTCGGAAACAACAAAATTTTTTGTCTCTCCCAATCTTTGCTGCTCCATCACCACTTTTATTATGCCTTATTACATATAGGGGTAAACTTATTATGGTAAAGCTATGTTCAACAAGGTTTACTTGTATCTTAGTACAGGTAAAAAAAATAAAATAGTATTTAGTAATTATGTAATAATAATTCTTAATTTGTGTACAGTTGCTGGTAGTAATCAGCGTAAAGGTTGCTTATGGGCATTGAATCCTGCTAAGGCCCATAAAATGGATGAAGAAGTACAAAAGTGGAGTAAGAAAGATCTGCAAGGAATTAAAGATGCCATGGCTTATCCTGGTAAGACATGCTTTTCTCATATTTGTTTTCCATGTACAGTACTGTATTGAACCCATCATGTTAATCCTTTTGACTAACAACTGCAGTGTTGGGAGGATATTAATATTATGAATGTAAATATACAAAAGTAATTTCCTTGCATAGATGGTCAGGTATCTAAATTATTAACCTGTTTAAGTATGAGCATCATTTGTTGGAAAGTAGGCACAAGATGTTATAAACATTCAAACCTCTTCAGATCTGGTTCCTAGCAGCACTCAGAAATTATTCATTTGGCAGAATTTACCAATTGAATCCAGTGAAATATAGATACAATTATAACAGAAAATACAGGGTTAATATTCAGGTCTTAGATTTTTCATCTTCTTAATATCTAAAATTTTATTTATCTGACATGACCATAATATTGTCATTACTGTTGTTAGTAGAAACATAGGAAGTGACAGGGTGCCAATATATTTTACAAAATAAAGGTTGAGGATAATCTTATAATAAACTCTTGCATGTCTGTTCCTCAAAATTACTAGCTAGTCTATCTTGCTTATTCTGAAAGTATTTTTATGTTGTTTTGACTGTGTTGCCCTTTCTGATTGATATGTTTTGCCTCTGACTAAAAAGAACAGCATTGAAACAGTTTACAATATCTCAATACTCTAATAACTGGATATGCAATATACCTTTTACCTTTGATATATTGCATGACTTCCTAATTTAAAGAGAAACTATTTTGTGCTTGTATCACATTATGTTCTTTGATTTTTACATGTACTTATTTTTGATTGGTATCATAGAAGTGTTAGAGGCATTGGAGCGAGGAGAAATGAAGTTTGAATCAAATGGAGGGGTATCATCATGCAGTGAAGACGAAGATGAAGATGAGGAAGTTGATCCTTTGGCTGTTGACACCCCCACCACTCCAACAGTTGGAACAGTAAAGGTAAGCTTAGTACAGTACAGTACTGTATAATAGAAACTATCAAGGTGTGCAGTAATTGCTTTTTAACATGCTGTTTAAACATTCTGATTTGTGTAAAAAAAATTCACCTGTGAATGCCAGGATTCAAACCTGGACCACCAAGGTTGGCAGTCAGGCAGCATTCCACTAGACCAAAATGGGCTGCCTTAACCCATTGTCCCACAGTTGTGGGCATGGGGCCTTTAGCTACAGTGAGAAGCTAAGGATAGGTAGCTTTTTTTTATATATATACCACAGTATAAATAATCAGTCTGTACTGTTGCATACCAGTACAGTACATTGTATAAGTGATTATAGTACAGTACATTTTATAATTGATTACAGTACAGTATGTGGATTATGCATATTACTTAAAAAAGATGTAGTCCTTGAAATTTGATTAATTTTTATAAGTTTTTCTCGAACTTTTCCCCCAAAATTTTTCATCCAAAGGTCCAATTTTTAAGTTGAGTGAACGTCATACTAGCCAGATATCTATCTCTGTTGTGTCTATCATTCATGACTCATTGTACTGGAGGCTGCAGGTTATCTAGTAAGATGCTCTATTAATTGTATAAAGTTTTATTTAACAAATACTGTACATTTCTGTCATTAAAATAACATGCAAACTACTTATATAAATAATTTGAGTGTGCTGGTTGTCTCCATATCAGAATCTATCCTGTCAAATTCTTTTGGTAGGTGGTAGTCTGTTTCCATCTTGATAAAACAATGAAAATTTTTCTTAAAGAATTCCTAAAAATTTATAGAGAATATCTCATTACGAGTGTTAAATATTCTTCAGATACTGAATCCCCTTACATCACCAACCATTGTAACCTCCAACCAGAGAGGACCTCAAGCAGTTGTCAGCAATCAACAGCAGCACATCCGGCAGTCGGTGCAAAATGGCCGTACTTCTCTCTCTTCAAGTGTTGCTCAATCAGCCTCCACTCATACAAATGCTCGGACAACATTTACCACACAGTCACTCAAGCGCAACTCAGTCACTTCTGAGGAGCCTGAATACATCCTTCCTGATTCAACGATGACAGAAATTAGTCTACAGGTAGAGTTTATTGCATGATGTATGGCTTTAAAAATATGAAAACAATGAGACCAAAAGAGTGTTGGATTTGTGAATTTCTTGTTTTCTGAATGAGATTGTATTTCCCCTCACTCTTTGCAACATGAACTTTTCTAAGATGGACATTCTTGAGTTATAATGCTTCTCAGTTTGGTGCACAGATGTGTAGTGGTATTGCCTTGTAAAACCCATGTACAGCAGACCCTTGTTATTTGCAGGGGTTAGGTTCCAAGGAATGGTGTGAATAGGCTAAACTGTGGATAGCAACTTATACTACCTTAGTGCACTACTGTATATCTATACTGTACCAAACAATCGACCAGCTGCGGCAGCACTTGTTCCCCCTTTTAACTTATCTAATAATTCAACTTTCTTTGTCAAGGTCATCGCTGACTGTAAACGCTTTGGTTAAGGACGTTCAGGTGACGGGCAAGTCGAAGGGAATGATTGAAACCCGCCTTTTGACGCATTTAATATTTATTGATGTGGTCAAAACCTGCAGAGGAAATGTTCATAATATTACATGGGGATTCATCTGATACATAATTAGTTAGTTTCACACAGTTTTATCTTAATTACAATTTATTTAACATAGTGACATAGCACAAAGTTCATAACTCTATTAATCTTAGCTTCGTCTCATTCTGCATTGTCTTATTACTCCAGATAAGGCAGAAACGAGTAGGCGTAATTAGTCGACAATATTTCAGTACCGAGGGGTATGTCATCACTTAGGCTGTACTTACAAGTGTGGGTCAATGCAGATCAGTATGGTGTTCCAAGAGACAACAGTACTGTGTAAATTGTCCCAGCACAAATTCTCTGACAGGAGAAGGCTGGTCTTCACAGCATCGCTAGAGAGGGCGATCTGACTCATGGCGGGGCGGGCAGCACTGCCACCAGTCGAAGACAGTCCACTCAGCAGAACCGAGACTTGTCTGTAAACACTTCTACATCTGGCGAGGTCACAGGTTGAAAGATTTAATGGCATCACATGCCAGCATTGTAGCTGAAGCCAGCGGCGATAACACACACACTCAGCAGAATCAGGGCCTCTTGTCTGTAAACAACCCCCCCCCCCCAAGCCGTCACATTTGGCGAGGTCACAGGTGGGGGGGGGGGGCGTACGAGGTCGCAGGCTGAGGGATTTAATGTATGTTCGGGTAAGGCAACACCAGCACTGTAGTTGAAGCCAGCGGCGATAACACTGACTTTTGCCTTTTACATTTCACTCCCATTAGCATCACTAGCACTGACACTAGGCAGTCTTTTGGGGGTCATTTTCACACAGAAACACTAAATTTTTGAGGGTACAACACAAGCTGCTGCGGGAAAAGACTTGTAATCTAGCCACCATAGCTACCATCTGCTTACTGCGAATCATCGAAATCACGAATTGCAAACCCATGAATGGCAAGGGTCTACTGTACTGTACTGTACAGTATAGTATTGGCTATTATTTATTAAAAAAAATATTCCGTATATACTCGTCTATAACCCCCCCTCGTTTATAGGTCGACCCTGATTTTTTTGACCAAGAAATCGTTAATTTACGATATTCCTCGTTTATAGTTCGACCCACGTTTTTGAGGGTAATGGAACAACAAAACCTTCACTAAAAACGCTCTACGTTCAATAAACTGAGGCTCGCCGTGCATGAAACACAAGTGCCGAAGGCAAATTGTTTACCATTTATTATTATGATACATTACACTGAAACGCGGGTGGTTTCAACAAAAATATTGTATATTTCCATTCAAGTATTTATTCAAGTCAATTAGGAGGGAATATTATTGTAATACAACAGTTTTTTAACTAAACCATTCAAAAAGCAATTACGGTAACATCTTTTGAACGAAAGAAAGCGAAAGTCATTGTTTTCGTCACGATTTTATCCCACTTTCCACTGTAATACGTACGTAATTTCAGCAAAAATATTACATTTCCGTGAATGTATTATATCAAGCACAGTATGAATAGAATATCATTGTAATATAACAGAATTTTAACCGAAAACTAAAAAAACGAGTAACATCTCAAGAACAGAAGCTTAGGTAAAGTCTTTTGTTTTCGTCATGTATTTTATCCTATTTTACATTGAAATACATCACGTTTCAGCAAAACTACTATTTATTTCCGAGAATATATTCATTCAGGCGCAGTTTAGATAAAATATACGTGTGATGTAATAGTTTTTTAACTGAAAACGATTCGAAAAACACATACCCTCTAGCCCTGTTCAAGGAGAGGAGTGGAAGAAGCTGTTTGGTGCTGCAGACGATGACAAGGAAAATGATTTTGATGGATTTTAATGAAAATATTCAGAAATATGGTATCGTAGTATTTATTCAAGTCAATTAGGATAGAATATTATCGTAATACAACAGTTTTTTTATCTGAAAACCATTCGAAAAGCGATTACGGTAACATCTTTTGAACGAAAGAAAGTGAAAGTCATTGTTTTCGTCACGATTTTATCCCACTTTCCACTGTAATACGTACGTCATTTCAGCAAAAATATTACATATCCGTGAATGCATTATATCAAGCACAGTATGAATAGAATACCATTGTAATATAACAATATTTTAACCAAAAACTATTAAAAAAACGAGTAACTTCTCTTGAACATCGGAAGGTTAGGTAAAATCTTTTGTTTTCGTCATGTATTTTATCCTATTTTACATAAAAATATATCACGTTTCAGCAAAACTACTATTTATTTCCGAGAATATATTCATTCAGGCACAGTTAAGGTAAAATATACATGTGATGTAACAGTTTTTTAACTGAAAACGATTCGAAAAACACGTGTACCGTCTAGCTGATACAGCTGGTGGTGCGTGATGCGTCGTTGTAAACAATAGGAGGTTGAAGTAGATTACCGGGTATTATATTAAGTGTGAAATATCGAAAAGGTTTTTATTACCGGTATTTTTTGTAGATGAAAGAGAACTGTGATACCGTATATGATATGATAAGTTAGCCTGTGCTAAGAACTTCAACATAGGCTGCTGAAAGCATGTTGTAAGTAATTTAGCCTATTGTAAGTTGGTGAGCTTCATTTGCTGAAGGAACAGCACAACTTTTCATTACTAATTGGTACATATTTTACGTTTCCATTGTTTACTGGCAGTAAATGGTAATTATTTTTCATGTCTGAAGCTAAAAGTTGCTCCTCGCCCTTCCCATCATGCACGGGTTCAACCTAACAAAACTATTACGCATGTATAGGACGACCCCCAATTTTTTGCCTAAAAACTTGGTCTTAAAAACTCGAACTATACGCTGAAGTATATACGGTATATATATATCTCTGCTGAAACGTGTAAAAAGGTGAACTAAGCATATCAAGCGTTGCTATCATGTGTACAAGTTAGGCATTACTAATTTGTTCTGGAACACAGTCTACAAGAACAGTAGAGCACAACTTTTTGTTCTAGAAAAGGTTATTAAATGAGAAATTCTGTGTGTGAATCTTATATCGAAAATTTTGTCAAACAGCTGTGCTTCACTGTTTATAACAGTTGCAATATCTGAAACAAATTGCATTTGTAGCCTGATTCCTCCCTCAATGAGGCAACTAGACACTCTCGGCCATATGTCTATAAAGTTATCAGTTACTGTACTCTTTATTCTCAGTGTCCTTATGTTAGGAATTCTTTCAGTTTACAGGTTATGTATTTTACATATCTTTAGCTCTGAAATATTTGACCTAACTAGAATTTTTTATATATTGTGAATATAAATTGTGCGGAATTATTTTTAACTTTTGATAGTTATTAATGAAACTAATATATTAGATGCTGTTTAATTTCTATAAAATGTTAAAATAAATATGTAATTTATTCTGTTTCAGTCCAATGGTGCTCTGGTTGATGATCTAGGAAATGAAATCAAGATAGAGGGCGAGTCATCAATTCATGCAAGTCCCTCTACACGTGGTCTGGTTGTCCGCAAGCTACCAGGTGTAACTCCACTCAGGTCTGCTACTGTGCGTGCCAATTATGTGTACACACCAACGATCTCATCTCCCCATCAGCAGCATACCCTCAACAGACTTGTTCTTACCAATGGCAAACTGTCATAGTTGATTTGACAAACTGCACTATTCCGTTCAAGTGGCATCTTTTTTCATTTATACGTCATCCCAAAATATTTCTTTTTCATCTTAAAATAATTTGACCATGCTCCCCCTCCCCAGAATGAATCCAGGTGTGATTTACATGTAATTAGTGTGCTTGGCTATCAGAAGTAAAGGGGGGCATAAGGTATTGCAATCATTGTAGGTATTATTAGAATGAAAATTTTTTAGTGAAGTTTCTGGTAAACAAGATGAGTGATTGCTGGGGTGGTAATGTGTTGAATGTCTGGAAGAGAAGATGCCATGATGCATGAAAATCTTCCTCTTTATTTTATATGATGTCTTGCAGTTAAGAATATGAAGTAATATTTGTTTTACATATTTAAATAAGTATTTAGGCATCATTCTTAACTTCTCTGTTTAATATTCAGATGTCAGTTGTAAAATTTTCATGTCATTTTGGGATTCTCCTTCCTGGGTGGTGCTCTGTTAGTTCACATTTGATTTTATGAAAAAAGGTATTAAAATACTCTACATTCATTACTTTCTTCCTCATAGTGCAAATTGTGACCTAGTATTCCATGATATCTGTACCTTTAACTAAAATGACTGTATATATATTGTGATAACCAATAACCATAGGTTGTAAGTAGAAGGCGACTATGTGTCCTTCTGTGAGGCATAAAAAAAAGGTGCGAAGAACATTATGGCAAGCCTCAGCTGATGAATGCGATGTTGTATTGAGACTGCAAGTATTTTTGCACCCATATGATTGGAGACATTGTCTGAGTCCTGTGATAATCTTTTAACTGAGACCGGGCAAACTTATGTACCTGAGAGAGTGTAATAGTACGATAGCAGGAGCATAGGTACTCTGTGGCCAGCATATTGTAAAAATTTCAAGTTTCCATGCATTTGATCCACATAATTACTGTATAAAAGTACTGTACAGTAATATTTTAGGTTAATGATTCAGTTTGCAGAAAAACATTAATATATATATATTTTTTTTAGAATGTTCATATTTTCTTTCCTACAATATTTTAAAATAAATCCGGTTGTTGAGGTAGATTACTATAAAAGATATAACTAGTTCCAAATACTCATCTGCCTCATTCATATTGGTCAGAAACTCTGCTCCATGTCTGCCAGTGAGAGTTCTCCCCTTAGGAGATTAAAAAAAAAAGAGGGAGACTAGTAAGTTAGTTAACTTCTTTTACAACTGCTATTCAGGGACAGCAGTGGTTGGTATCAGCTCTATTATTATGTATATTTAGTGAAGGATTCTTGGTATTAATCATTGTCTTCATTCCTCTATTTTCTTTGAAACGTCAAAATTTGGGCCATTGTTTGTTCTTAAAATCTCACTTTCATTTTGTCGAACTGAGGCAATTTCAGTTTTATTCTGGGCTTCTTATCTGGTCAAATCACATTCATTATTCCTTTCTCATTCATTTCTACTGGTATTACTATCATACCTCTTTTAACGGAATTTAGTTTAATGGACAGGAAAAAAATAATAATTTAATAAATACGAGATAATAGTAATTATAGTTTCATTTGAGAGAAAAAAAATCAGTGTAAAAGGAACCAACAATACAGTCCGCCGCCAACATTGTTTACATCATCTTAGCGAATGTTTCAAAATGTAAATAGTAGCCTGCCAAGATTTGTGTCTATTGGATCGTGGTAGGTCTAAGTGTGTTTTGTGAAAATTTTACGCCCATTATATCTGGGAAATGGACTGCAACTGGTTGTGCTGGTAAACCAACAAGGTGTCCAGGAAAGTCATTACTGTGGACGTGAAGATGAAAGTGATCTGAAGGGTTGAGGCAGGGAGGAGGAGGAGCGAGGAAGTGGTGGTAAACAACACATCGTTCCCAAAAAATTAACTGGTGAGTGCTACTTAATAAATTTAGTTTAATTTATTACTGATAGCAACAAAGTCTTCATTGAAATGTAAAAGTTGAACTTTGTCACCTTGTGACAGCCATTTTTTTGTTGTGCTGGAGTGGTTTGCTTGCCACTTAATGTTTACTTTTTGTATGGAGACGGCGGTGAAAAACCACATGCATTTCTAAGTAACCAAGTTTTTTTTTTGGGGGGGGGGGTGTTTATGACATTTTATAGCATTTAATCATCGTTTAGTCATTCTTTTAAGACAATAGTAGTACAATATATAAGCGGAGTTATCATTTTGACCAATTTTGCTATTAGCAAGAACACATCTCCATGAGCACCATGTTATAATGGCCTCTTTTAACGGATATTTCACTTCGCGGACTAGCCTCAAGAACGTATCTCATCCATTATAAAAGGTATGATAGTATTTGTAAAAAAAAATTTCCTATTAGGAGCTTAAATTTGAGATCATGTGCGAGACTCAATCATTACATGGACTCGCTCCTTTTCATAAACTACTAATTCGTTCATTGTTTTCACTGTAATTCTTGTATGTGCAAGATGTAAATTTTAAGAATTAGATAAAATTGGATCTCCATTAGACCATAAATGTTAAATAAATAAATAAAATAAAAAGTGTAACCTGAGTAGAAGTAATATAGATGCTATTAACCAGAAATCCTCTTCCTAAGTGTAAGCAGTGCAAATTTAGCTTTTTATACTTTTTGTATGTTGACCTTTTGTATATAAAATTTCCATTCTTTTTATTTCTGCTACTAACAGTGCTCATTTATATTGAGTAACTGGAGTTGAACCAGCAGAAACACTGGCCTAGAATGATCTTGGCTGTAAATATTG